CTCAGCCTCCACTAGCCGTTACTTGGTAGCGGCTTCAACGTTGGACGTTCTCCTTCCTTTCGGTTCCCGAACTTTCCTCGACCTCAGCTACCGGCTTATCACTCCTCGCAGCTGTAAACCCGAAGTCAAGAGTCAAAGTTATGTTACGACCGACGGTCAGTCGGCCAGTCTCTCTTGGGGTACAAGACCATAATTTTGTTACTGCTAGACAGTTGCGGGTTTGTTGATATTGGGCGCCGTCCCTGACGAAAGGACGGGTCTGTCATTTACAATTCCTGGTGGCCTCATCAGCGCAGTCATTCTCGGGTCCTAGTCCCGCGGGACTCATGACCTTATTTTTCTGTCTCTGATACGAGACTCCCCCAGCCTGGAGGGCCTGGTTCCCGTATTTGTATCTCCCAGGAACAGGGTGGCCCAGTTATACCCCCAGGCACTAGGTCCAATTTTCGTCGCCTCTTGCGACTCGCAGGGCAGCGGTGGAGGTGTTCTAACCCTCCTCCACGCGGGGAACTCTCAACTCAAGTCGAAGTCACATTACGACTGACGGTCAGTCATTCAGTAAGTCTTGGTGTTGACCCCCTTCTGGGGCTCATGACCAGACATTTGTTAGTGTTTGAAGGTAACGGTCTTGTCTTTGTGGGGCACACTCTCTGACGAGAGAACGGGTTTGTCTTTTGTATATGCTGGTGGCCCTTGCCAGCACAGTCTTTCTCGGGTCCGAGTCCTTTGGGAAAATGTGTCTTCCATTTATAATTTCGTCTTCTCTCTTTGCCGGGAAAACGTGTCCACAGAGCTATTCCTTGGTAACGGCTGTTTGCACAGCTGTTACTTGGCAGTGGGCCTACATTTCAACGTGCTTGCCCTCGGACTGTCCAGGCGACAGCTACGATCGCTTCCTTTATGTCTCTTCCAATTCACCTTCACCTTCACCTTCACATCCTGACGGATCCTACTGAAAGGTAAAGCTACCCCTGTAACAGGCCGTGGAGGCCCATAGGGTTGTGAGACGTCGAGACTCCCACATTTTCTAGACAATCGGCTCACAGATGGCGGTGAGGTTATCAACCTTAAACACCGGCCACGACTTTACCTTCAGGAAGATTCCTGATACTCATTTCTGTTGGAGGCTGAGTCGATTCCGGGGCCATAGTGCGGCAGGAAGAATTAGGTTAATTGAAAAATCCAATGACTTCATCGGGAACAGAACTCGAGACCTTTCCTAGGGAAAATCCTGCAACAGAATCTGTAATTGAAGGGAAATAAGGAGGAGCTAGGATGTGGTAGCTTATTTCGTCCTAGGCTCAGTCTCCGACTCTGAATATGGAGGCGATATGTTCCTCCGAAACGCCATAACCGCACTGTTCATAGTCACAGCTGTGAGAGCTTCAAATCTAACGAAATGTGTACGTTCAGATGTCGCTTCGCAATGAGAAAGTTATGCTCCCTGATTGCCACACAGTCGAGTCGCCCTCTCTGTCAGTGTCCGACATCTGCACTAATTAAATATGCTCGTCAGCTGCTGACGTGGCAACTGTGCCATAATTGGTTAAACTATTGCGTTACGCTCCACGTGGGAATCACCGAAACAGCGTCGTTAAATAATTTCACCGCTAGCTTGGTCAGTCCTCTGTCTTCTGGGATGTGACGCCGTAGAGTCCGGTAAACGATTACCGAAGTTTCGGAGGTAGTATCGCCTCCATGTCAGGTGTCTAAGGGTAAGCCAAGATACAGACAAGCTCTGTTTGACGGTTTGTTCTTGCACGTCGCTTACTTGGCTTATCTTTCTGCACTGAAGAAGGAGACATCACGTGCCTCCGAAACATCGGTGAAATTGTACCGGACTACATGGCGCCACATCCTACAAATAATCTTTTATAGCCGGTTTCGTGTCCCAAGGTTCTTTGAAGGGCGTCCATAATGTTCTTAAAGATGACTTGTAAAATATTTAGGAAAGGAAATTTCGTTTATGTTTTTTTTTTTAAATTTAATGTTTGTAACTAAGGCTACGTTCTTCGAAGGAAATAGGGAGATTTCTTTTTGTTTTGTTTGGGTAAGTGCTTAGTATGGCAGTGTGAATCTGTTCGGGTCACTGGACAGATACTGCACAATACGCAATATGAAAACATGCGTCACTGTTGCGTCACAAGTGGCAGCAGCGAATTGTTTTGTTGAATTGCAAACTGAAGAGATGTGGGAGTCAGCCCTAGAAGCGGCTTGCATTTGCCCCCCCCCCCGGTCACCACACTGACAAGGGAAATGGCAGGCTGTCGCATGCAGACTACATAGAGACAAATAGTGTCATAAAAATGAATTTGACAGGATCTGGAAGGAAGCTGTCTTGGCCATATTGAGGTACAATCCCGGAATATGCCTGGAGGGTCTGTGGTAAACCATGAAATGCCTCACCGAGGATATCCTTTTGTCTTGCCGGAGATTCAAACAGAGTACCACCCGAATGTGAGGTGGGAACATTACCGCCATACCAAGCCGCAGGGGAGCGCCTGTCCCGTTTCAGAGAAACTTACGTATTTTCCTTAATAATGGCGGCAAGAGCTGGTTTGTCAGTGTAATCAATTTGCGTGGAGCTAAATGAAGATGGGTACGCCCTTTTGGGCGGGCCTGAGCAACAGTTATGTATCGCACTGTGGTTACATGTCAGCTGGGACCAGCTGAAGCTTCACGAAGATATCAGCACCGCGTACCCTCGATACAACTTGCGTTGCAAGTGAAATTGACAGATTATTATGTATGCAGTGCCCTCTCCAACAGAGCAGCGGCAACTCCAGTCATCTTGGTCGAGAAGGTAAAAGGGGCGCTCATTAAATTTTGCTGCTTGAACAAAGTAACCGCAGGGCTGTTGAGGCCAAGGGGTTCTGGTGATGGTGTATAACATTCGGGATTACTGGGTTTTGGGGGGATTTTTCCGTCGTTCGGTATTCTAAAGATCATAACGTTTCGGAAACCGGATATGTTTCCTTCCTCAGGTGAGTGGGTGAGAGACACGTATCATGTTGGGTTAAGTAACGGACCCAAGAAAGTAGGTGTCTCCCACCCCTTCCCGAGGGCGCAAACAGGTCCAGTCTGCGAAACGTTGTGTTCTTTATGATACTGCGCGATGGACGAAGTCTATAAACGTAGCCGCCCCGACAGCAACACTCAGCCTATTCAACGCGGAATATGGACTTTAGCCTCTGTACCGTACACTGCAGGCAAGAATATTGCAATGCAGTCTTGTACGGCAGATTTGTATGACATGAAACACGTAATTGTACTCTGTTGCAACGGGGCAGAAGGTAAAGTTATCCCTGCAACAGGCCGTGGAGGCCCATATGCTTGTTAGACGTCGAGGTTCCCACATTTTCTAGACAATCGGCTCATAGATGGCGGTAAGGTTGTCAGCCTTACGCGCCGGCCACACTTTACCCCCAGGGAGATTCCTGATACTCATTTCCGTTAGAGGCTGAGTCAACCCCAGGGCCACATTGCGCGGCTGGAAGGGTTAGATGAATTGAAAAATTCAGTGACCTCGTCGGGAATCAAACCCGTTGCCTTCGGTTTGTAGCATGGTGCCTCAAACAAATGCGCTACCCCGTACCCCGTGGCACAACGAGTCCCCAGCGCATGTACGAAGTACATTCGTTTGACACTTGTTCTTGTCAGTGGGTCCGTTCCTGTACAGCCCATCCTAGTGGAAATTACTAAGAAGTGTACTTACACGAGTGTTACTTTCAGTTGGAGCTGAGAACTGTGAGACACATGTAAAGTTAGCTTCTGCCTTCGAACTGCGACCAAACCGATAACGCTGAGTGTTTCAGGGCGGCTGAATAGTAGTGTCAAGGTCCGTCGTTCTGAGAGCAGATGGGCGCCACAGCCAGCCTACAGATCGTCACCTCTGGTGCCACTTAGGCTCGAACAGACCTCTACTGAGGTGTCCCGCAGAGACTTCCTCAAGTTCTGTGAATCTTCTGTCATTGTTTAACGACATGTAACGGACTACACGCTGTAGGGCCCGATTCGATTCCCGACATTGAGAAGAATTATTCTCTTCCCCACCGAGCTCAGACCGCCTGTGGGCCCCACTCAGCCTCTTGTCCCTCGAGTACTGACGCTTCTCAGCAGGGGGTTCTAGAATACATGGATCTTTATAGCTACGTCTCCCTTACGTCTTCGTGGTGTGAATGTTCGGACACGAGAAGGCCAGAGTTCTACTTGTACGTAGCGGCGACTCGTGTTCAGCCAGCATATTGGTACAGAGTGCCAGATGTCATCTGTTCAGGAAGCTCCTTGACGGAAAATACGAGTATCCGTCCAATTCATGGCCAAAGCCTTTGCCTCAGACGTTTGTAAATTTGTGGGGTTTGAGGTTTTTATAGCGTTCACTGTGAAGAGCAGTCTACCGGGATGTGAGTCCGGTAGTTCACCGTCGTTTCGGAGGAACATATTGCCTCCATATTCAGGGTCACAGAGTAAGTAAAGCGAGCAACCAGGGCGAGCCTCGCGTAGAAAACAACTTGAGCCCATATCGGAACCAGGTCCCTGTGTCTGCTTGGCTTACTCTGCCACCCTGAAGCAGTAGGTTCCTCTGAAACGTCGGTGAACTTCTATCAGGCAGCACGGCACACATCTCAGGAAATATTACCCTCTGGTGTTTTCATTTATACATTTTAGGATCCAACTATTTTCATTTCTATTCCCTGATGGAAATTATGTGATTGCTACATCACTCATGTTCATTTCTGACAGGTAAAATAGCTAACCGCATGGCACTGCATAAGAGGAACACATTGGTGTCGCTTGCATTTCGTGAAATATTCATCACCGTACACAAAAATGTTTCAAATAAGGGGCTATAGTTATGTCTGGTATTATTTTTCTTTGCGACATGCCATTTCTGCCAAAATCGATATGTTCGATTAGACATTGGTGTGAAGCGGCCATATTGAATCGAAATCGAATCAGCTCGACAAGTTTTTAATGTAGACAGCACAGACGGTACTTACTGCTTCAACTAGCCCAGTGGTGTGACGCTGGCACCGCACTGTTTGCAGTGTGTGGCGAGCGTCGTCGCCACTGGCGTTGTTGCCTTGTCGGCGCCATTGTTGCGTGTCGAACTGAGCGTCTTGTGATGTCACTGCGCCACCCGCATTTTTTTGTTGTCTGCTTTTAATTCCGTTCGGTGTTTCCGTTTATTGTCTGTTGGTTCACTGTGTTTCCACCTGTGGCGCTGTCGGCAGCTGCGGCGACCTGTGAAGTAATGGCGGTTTGAGTGTACGTTAACGAGAGGATAACGCTCTACATACAAAGCAGTAAACAGTGCATCGCCGGTGACAGTCAGGTGCTTCCTCTTTGTCTCGCGCAGGTGCAAACTCTGTTTGTACACAGGGAACAAATGAGGTCCCTAGACGAAGTTACTGATCTAAGCTGATCACACGTTTAGCGGAAAGTCTCTTCCCCGCTGCCGTAATGCTGACACAAAGGGCAGGGTCAACAATAAAGCACCGAGCACGTTGGTAAAGCTGTACCACTCTAGACTTGTATTCGCCGCGACATAAAGTTTTCATTGTTTTCCTCAGTCCGTCCATGTCAATGCTGGGATATTACTATCACTTCCTTCCGGATCACTTCCCGTGTTATGTAGTCTTAGAGACTGGCAGACTCATAAAATAAACCACAAAACACACACAGTTCAGGCCCGTCGTACTTTGACTTCAACCTCACTTCACGAGGCGTAATCTGTTTTACAAATGACGTAGCGACTCTGTCGCGTTATGAAGAGTTCTGTCTTCTGGGATATAACACTGTGTAGCTCAGTGAAAGTCGACCAACGTTTCGGAGGAACATATCACTTCCACCATCACGGTCGAAGAGTAAGCTAAGCAAGAACTGAGCATGAAGGAGGCAGCGTTCATCTGGATGTAATTTCATAACAATTTATGTTGATATCTGCTGACACAGAAGTACTCTCTCGCCACCCTTTTCTCTGAACAGTCCCGTTGCCGTTTGTCAGTAGCTGTTTTCGCAAGATCTGTGTGACTCTGTTAGATCCCCCCCCCAGATGATTGACGCCACAGTCTACGTCCTCAGGTGGGACTACCCGCCGTACCTGAATGAAGTGGTTGAGGTTCATATCGCACCTCAGCCACCCCAACATAATGCAATTTCCATCATGGAAATCCGTTTTCCTAACCCTTGTCTCTTCCCTGTTTCGTCCAATCGCAGCTTCACCTCCGACTCTCCGCCCACTATGAGATCTACATGAGCTGCCGAAACTCTGGAAAACCTTCGGCATTCTACGGCTGTATTCCCGAAAGCCGCAGTTATACGGGGAAGAGTCAGTAAACAGGTCAAAAATGGAAGTAAAATAAGTGTAATAGACGTAATAGGTATTCTATGTGTGTTAGTAGGCAGCAACACAGTCTACCTTCATTACAGTATAAGTAGGAGATGCGCATGTTCAGAGGCTCGTTTCAGTAGTCAAAATGGCGACCGCGTTTGAGCAGCGTTCTGTTGTGCGTTTTCTTTGTGGACAAAACGACTCAATGAACAGGATATTCATAATGAAATGTTTCCTGCTTACGGTGGGAAGTGTTCGTCGCGTGAAGCGGTTCACAACTTGGACGAGGAATTCTCTGAAGGGTGTCCCTAAAGTCTCAGATGATGAAACGGAGATGCGGAAGTGGCTAAGAGCAGCCAAAGAACTTCTATGGTGCGGGTTTCGATGCACTGGTAAAGCGATGGGACAACTGTATCAATGTTGGTGGAGGGTATGTCAGGAAATAAATGTTTTTTTCAGGTTCGAATATGACATGGTTTACATTTTGTATCCACCCGTCACCTATTTACTGACTCTCCCTCCTGCACTTTAATATTATCTCCCCATGTAAGTCCTGATCTTTCAATGGGCTTCCTAAGGCACCCCCCATCATAAATCATCGTTTAAACCGGGGGGGGGCTAGTTTCTCAATGTGAGCTGTCCATCACGCCATAACTCTGTGTACCTGCGTCAGCCTGAAGTTGTTAGCTACGTAATTCCTTGAATACCTTTATCGGATCATCTCCCCTGCGTCGGAGTGTATTCCTTGCAGCCATGTTTGCAAATACTTCAGGTTCTGTTTCAGGACAAGGAACTCAATCTCACAATGAAGTGGCCACTCTCAAAAGATTTCCTCTTTAAATTCTCGAGACTTTTCATGTTTCCCTCCGAGTTACATGTCTACCGCATTGTAACTTCACTCAACTAGAATGCACGAGCAAGGTAGAGGTGAAGTTGTCCCTGTGCTTAAGTCATTAAGCACTACGCCAGGAAGACGTGTGGGGGAGTGGATGTATAGATCCACGTATTCCTGACCTCGGTTCTAGTTGAAGGTGATTGGTCAGCTTCACGTCTCAGCCCCTGGAAAGAGCCCCCGGTACACGTTGGATAGGAGGCTGGGTGGGCCCCATAACCAGTTTGGACGAAGTGGAGAAGAGAAAATTCTTGACCCTACCGGGACTCCAACTCCGAACCCTCGGTCATCCAGCCCGTAGCCTGTCGCTATGCCGACTGCGCTATCCCGGCTCCTAGAACGTGCGGGGACGCAGAAGAATATACAAATTATGAACAGAGTTTTGATGTTCCCCCTGCGATGATTATAACAAGTCTTCTATCCTGACAATGGAGGCAGCAGTTCTATCCGAAACGTTGATAATGTTCTACCAAGCTACACAGTCCTTTGGTTATGTGCCCCATTCAGTAAGTCGCTGAAGTCAGAAATTCGAGAACTGTGACGTCAGATGAATTTACTTTTCTCTCGACTTTAAGAACAAGAACAATATTACAAATATAAATCACTCCGTCCAATGTGACCTGTAAGTTTTTTACTACATGAAAACTTAACACCCTTACATGTTTCGGTCTCTGTGGACCATCTTCAGAGGGCATATAAGAGGGACGATGGGAGGACGAACACAAGCCTGCATGGTTTACAAATTTTAATTATTGACAATACAAAAAATTTTTTAATTAGCATCAAGAAATTTTATACAATTTTTTAAAAAACTTTACATTCCCAGGAAACTGCTGTGTTTGTGAAATGGTCTAGTTTGTGTACTATGTATTGTAGCACATAAGTGTAGGTACTTTACGTCTAAACAACTTACGTGATGGTGGTTTCCTATTTGTAGTTATGTTTTCCCTCTGAAGATGGTCCACAGAGACCGAAACATGTAAGGGTGTTAAGTTTTCATGTAGTAAAAAACTTACAGGTCACATTGGACGGAGTGATTTATATTTGTAATTGTTAGTGTGACGGACCAGAATGGAACAAATC